TGAAAAGGTAGTAGGAGCAAACCAGTTCCACAAAGTTGTCCCTTGACCTCCTCGTTTGCATTATGCCATTCATATACCAACACACAGGCATCATATACACTCCCATCATAATAGACCTTCTTTTTAAAAAGTTAAATCATCATGACTTTTGAAAATTCAAACATATATATTATGACAGCTGTAGTCTCTTGTAAGGAGTACAGTTTTTCTGCCTGTCGCCGCTGGTCTTGTGCTAATTGGGGCTGGCGAGGCGGTGGGCAGATAAAACGTAGTCCTTACAATCTCTAATATTCAGGAAGCTAAACCAGGAGATCATTTCAAGAGTGTGGGGTCATCTTGGGAAACATAGTGAAACCTTATCTCAAAATGGAGACAAATCTTAAGGTTTATGGTGCAGTTCATTGTATGGCACATGCTTGATATTCAATGCCCTGGGTTTAATCCTCGGCAACAAACAAAACCCCTAGTATTCTCAACTAGTTAGGCTGACCTTTTTTTTTTCTTCCTTGTTTGATAGGATGTCAGTGGGGGAGGACCTGCTCGTTCCTACCCTGTTGGAGGCCTTTGTTACTATCTATCTCCTCCTGAGTCCATGGGTGCCATATTTGAGGATCCTGTCCATGTAGTTGTGTATATCATCTTCATGTTGGGATCATGTGCATTCTTTTCCAAGACATGGATAGAAGTATCTGGTTCCTCAGCCAAAGATGTAAGTATGTGACTAGTTAAACACACTTTGGTGTTATTTAAGCTTTAGTAATGGATGGAACTAGAAAAAGCCATCCTGAGTGAGATAACCCAGACCCAGAAAGACAAATATAATATGTACTCACTCATAAGTGAATATTAGACATAAAGCAAAGGATAGCCAGCCTTCAGGCCACAACCCCAGAGAATCTAGGTAACAAAGAGGACCCTAAGAGATACATACATGGGTTAGCGTAGGAAGGGGAAAATGATAAGATCTCCTGAGTAAATTGGGAGCATGGGGGGAAGGGGAGAGGGGAAGAGGAAAGGGGAATGGGGTAAAAATGTATAGCTCAATTTAAAAAAAAAAAAAGGCATAAAATTGAAATTAAAAAACAAAACAAGAACTCTTGGGGCTGGAGAGATGTACTGGGTTCAATTCCCGGCACAATTTACACCTCTCTGTAACTCCAGTTCCAAGGCTTCTGACAACTTCACATAGACATACATGCAGACAAAACACCAATGAACATTAGAAAAAAACAAACAAACAAAAAAAAAAAAAACAAAACTTTTGTAAAAAACAGTATTTGGGTGCCAAAATAAGTTACTTTTATATAGTTTTTAGTTTGTTCACATATTCTTAGTGAGACATATCTCTAACAAGCTAAAAATTGGTTCTTCTGAACTTTTACTGTGGCTTTATGATCCTCTAAAACTCAATCCTACTCAAAAAACTTTTTTTTTTTTTTTGGCCAGGCAGTAGTGGCACATGCGTTTAATCCCAGCAGCACTTGGGGGGCAGAAACAGGATCTCTGTGAGTTTGAGGCCAGCTTGGTGTACAGAGCAACTTCTAGAACAGGCTCCAAAACTACAGAGAAACCCTGTCTCAAAAAACCAAAAATCAAAACCCCTCTTTTTTCTTTAGTATTCAGTTACTTTTTATAGAGCTAATACAAAAAAAATGATTACAGCAGCTGGGTGGTGGTGGTGCATGCCTTTGATCTGGAGGCAGAAGCAGGTTGATCTCTTTGAGTTCAAGGCTAGCCTGGTCTATAAAGTGAGTTCCAGGACAGCTAGGGTTGTTACTTAGAGAAACCTTGTCTTGAATAACCAAATAACAAGTACAGCAAAATGCTGAGAGTACGGATGTAATGTATGGCTAGCATGTACTCGGCAGCATTGAGACCTAGTTTCCCTTTGTTTAATATAAGCAACACAATGCCAGTGTCCAGGCTCTTATATTTTCAGTGTGGCAAGCAAAAAGAGTGAAGAGTTTAATTTCAAAAGTTTTTCTTTTTGGCCAGGTGGCTAAGCAGCTTAAAGAGCAGCAGATGGTGATGAGAGGCCACAGAGATACCTCCATGGTCCACGAGCTAAACAGGTAAGCTCACAAGACCATTTCTTTTTACCTCTAAGGCTCATTGCTTTATTCAAACTCATAGTCGTCTACTCTTCACAAGAGAAGTACAATTTAATTGAAACTTAATTGTTCTCCTCATAAAAATTGGCCCTTTTATAATTAATCATCTATAATTTTTTTGAAAATATCATTTTCCCCTTCTCTCCCTCCAGTGTACTTCCCCCACTTGCTGTCTCTCAGGTTCACAACATCTCCCTTTTTTTTTTTTTTTGACACACACATACTCCTAAATATAAGTGCAATCTGCTTAGTCTTTGTATGTTACTTGTACTTAACATGATTTTAGAGCTGACCATTTGGTATTAAATATTCAATTGGGGCTCTTTCTTAGGGAAGGCTGTTTTCTCCTGCTCTCAGTATTCCTTAGTTGCTGATAGCTGTTTAAGGGTTGGGGCCGCCTCTGTGTTAGCATGTCTACTGGTGTTGTCCTTGTTCATGTTTCGTTTAGGCAGCCTACATAATTTTAAATTGAAACTGTGCTTTCATTGCTTACCTCAGTGTTAAAATGATACATATCAGTAGTTCTCAGTGTTGGCTGGCTGTACATGAGCTACCAGGAAAATCCTAAAACACCAGCACCCTCACATCCAGGAAATGGGATCTGTTCCCAGGCGCCAGGTCTTTGGTGACAGCTTTATTGTGATAAAATTCATATACCATTTAAAATATCCAGTTGAAATATATAGTTCACACCTTTAACTCGAGCAAACGGGAGGCTCAGGATTACTGCAAGTTAAAGGTCAGCCTGGGCTACTTCATGAGTATTAAGTCAGTAAAATGAAATCCAGTTGTATGTATATTGCTCATTTGTTCAGCAGTTTCTTGAACTGGCTCTGGTGGTCCTATCTCTTTTTTTGTTTTTTGAGACAAGGTTTCTCCATAGTTTTGGAACCTATCCTGGAACTTGCTCTGTAGACCAGAATGGCCTCAAATTCATAAAGATCCACCTGTCTCTGTCTTCTGAGTGCTGGGATTAAAGGCATGCGTCACCAATGCCCAGCATGTTTCTATCTTAAATTATTTTATGCATATGAGTATTTTGCCTCTGTGTATATATATGCTTGGTTTGAAATTTCTTATCCTGTAAGAGGGAACTTAAGGATAGCTGCTTAAGAATATTACATACAGCTGGGTGTTGGTGGCATACACCTTAAATTCCAGCACTTGGGAGGCAGAGGCAGGTAGATCTCTGCAAGTTCGAGGCCAGTCTGGTCTACAGAGCTAGCTCCAGGACAGGCTCCAAAGCAATACAGAGAAACCCTGTCTCAAAAAACCAAAAAAAATATATATCCCATATTTTAGCCAGGCATGGTGGCACATGTCTCTCTGATCTTAAAACTCTGGAAGTGGAGGTAGGATGAGATTCAGTTTAAACAAACAAAAATACTCCAGTTTTACTCAGAAGTGATAGTTTGTTAATGTAATCTCAACACTTGGAAGCTGAAGCAGGTGGACTTCTATGAGTTCTAGGCCAAGTTGAGGATATAGAGACATCTAGGATATATATTATATATATACACTGTAACATACAAAACATATGCATTATAGTATACATACACAAAATATACAATATATATATATACAACATATATATTATATATATTTCTATTTGTATAATACTTTCAGTCTAAAATCTAATAATCTGTCCTAAAAATTGCATTACAGCTGTTAGCATTTTTAAAATTTGGGTTTTCAAAATTATTCTTAATCGGTCTCCCATGTGTTAGGTACAGTGTCTGATTAGTAAGGGCCTGTTCTGACCTGTTCATTTCTTTGGAGGGAACCATTTCAAGCAAAACTGTACATTGTGTTGCTTCTAGCTGTTGTTATTGTTTCCTTTCCTGTTTCCCCCACTGCCTGATGAAAGTTCCTTTGTCTTTCAGGTACATCCCTACAGCAGCTGCCTTTGGGGGCTTGTGCATCGGTGCCCTGTCGGTGTTAGCAGACTTCCTTGGGGCCATTGGCTCTGGAACTGGGATTTTGCTTGCAGTCACTATTATTTATCAATATTTTGAAATATTTGTTAAGGAACAGGCTGAAGTTGGAGGGATGGGTGCTTTGTTTTTCTAAATGTTCATATATTTCTTTGTGTGTGTGAAAGGGAAAATATTTTGACATACTGTTTCTGTCAAATAATGCTGGTTCCCCTCTCTCCCTCCCCTCAGTTTGTTTTCAGTGCTAATTGTCCCATTTCTGAAATGGGCGCCAAGCTAAGCCTGTGTGCAGCATTAGTACCAGCTGCCTTAAAACCGAAGTTTACATTATTTGTTGACACTGTCCATCTAGTATTGCCCATGATGCTGGGAAGCAGTGTATCTGCCTAGCTGTTGGTCAGACAGCAAGACAGTAACATGGATTAGCTTTGCACACAACATTCAGAACACTGAATATTCCCTTGTTTAAAAATAAACGTAGTGCAAATTGCCACTATCCAGTATTTTTGAGCTTCCCTAATGAGTTATGAAGCATTTATATCTAATGTATATTTTAGATAATTTTTATACTTTTTTAACTCATCGTATCCATGTTCTCTACCCTCCCTCACCAGCCCCAACCCCTCTTTATTTGTCCTACCCCCAAACTGCCACTCAGCCTGGATGGGCAAAAATCAAGCATTAAAGTTATTTCTGTCACTAGAAACAATTGTTTCTAATTCCTCTTCTGCTTTTCATTTGTTCTCTTCTCCCAGTGATAGCTATGAGTGCTGTCCACTGTACTGGCTATGCCTTCTACTTCCAACAGCCACTCAATATGATGCCCCATCAGTATGTTTTCTCCTTTCCCCAAGTTCCTAAAGCAAGATCCAGTTCTCAAGCAGTGTCTGTAGTTGAGTGGAAGTGAACAATGAATAATTCATACTAGGACTCCGTTATATGCATAGCAGGTATAAACAGTAGACAATAAACTTTTATTTAATAAAACTGTTGCTGTTGTGTTGGAAAAATAAAGAGATGTGGTATTAAGTGTTCTCTAAGATTATTTCTGTAGGTTCAGTGTATTTGTATGGAATCCATCCAGATATGCTTAAAGTAGTTAAATACAATCATACTTCAATTCTAAGTTCCTAAAGTGCCGTAACACTGGAAAGGGACAGGCAAAGTGTCTCAAAGCATATTCTAGTATTTTTAGAGTACAAAATTTATTTAAAAAAAAAATTAACAAATTTAGTTTTTGGTCCAATTACAGTTTTCAGTCATGAGATTCCGTAGTAGGAATGGGAGGTAGGACTAAGCTTGGATCAGGAAATCAGACAATTTACAGAGGCAAGACATGAGTGAAGGTCAGGCACTGGAAACACCTCTGGGGTTGTGTTTTACAAATGAATGCAAAAAAGGCAGCTTCTTAAAAAGTGTAGGCAAACAGTTTGTGGGGAGTGGAGATACCCCCAAATGGCTAGCTCTTTGAGTCTGAGCTCGCCTCCGAAACAGGCCCTCTGAGGTGCATAGGTAATACAGATGACACTAAGGACAAGTCTAGGAGACAGTTGTCACTGCTCAGTGACACAGGCCAGGGAGAATGGGACAAATCTTGTGGCCTGGCCAGTACCAAAGGCCATTCCAATGGCACTTGGCTCTAGAGTTGCTCTGTGGAGAAGATGAATATAGGGAGCCTCTGTCTTCATTTCAAAGGATGGGGAAATAGAGATCCTGGGGACTCATGAGAAAAAATAGTATCTTTGGAGAAATATGCCCATGATTACAAAAGTTTTTTTTTTTTTGGGGGGGGTGGTGGTAGTGGTTAGAATCACAGGAAAGGCTACTGTAGCATAAAAAAAAATGGATCTTAATTTTCACATTCATTAGGAAAGCAGATTTGGTCTATAAAGTTCCAGAATTATTTCCATCTTTAAGAACAATATAAACATTTTTGTATAAAGAGCTTACATTTTTGTTGATTAAAAATACCCATTGGTGATAACACTTAGCATTGATCCTGACTGTACATGGGAAAACTGCTTTTATAAGGTTCCGAGGAATCTGCCTTGAACCTGGATCCAGCTGCAAACATACTGAGCTGGCCAGCAAGCATCATGCTGAGTGTTTCAAGTGGATGAACTGCAAGACGACAACCCTGGAACTGTAGAAAGCTATAGTAATCAACACAATAGCTGAGCTCATCAGAACAAGGCAGTGATCAGAACACTGGCAGAAGTCCTGGGTGATGAACTTAAGTATGGCATGCACTCAACCACTGTTGCATTTCCAGTACAGTTTTAGGTTTCAGATAGTTGGCTAATATATCCACCTATACCCATGACTTGACATCCATACACACAGAATCCATGCCAATCTTTTTACTATGGACTTAGCCTTAGAAAACAAAATAATTTTCTGAGATAAAGATAGGGAATTAAGTATGTGCACATTTGATGGAAGGGCCCTGAGTTTTCAGTGTCTTTGCTTAGCTTTAATATATTAACAACTATGTTCACTACTGAAGCATTAGTCTTGGTATGCTTTTAGGAATTAAATGGCCTTATAAGGATATTAAAAACATTTTAAAAATTATTTTTGAGATGATGTTTCATTATGCAGCCCAGGGTGGGCACATTTATGATCTCCCTGCCTCAGCCTAAGAATGTGGATTATACAAGCATGTACCACAAGTAGCTAAATATTTACTACAAATGTTACTCTCTGTTGATTTTACATCTACTATACAAATAAATTCCACATAGCAAATCAATTAGAGTTAAGAGAAGCCAATTAAGTCCCTATCAGAGTCTATGTTTTAAAACTTTTTTTTTGGCCATGTGTAGTAGTGTACACCTTTAATCCCAGTACTTGGAGAGGCAGAGGCAGGCGACTGGGAGCTCAAAGGCAGACTGTTCACAAAAGCCAAGTACCAGGACTACACAGTGAGATCTTGCCACAACAAAACAAAATCCTAACCCTCTTATTTTGAAACATGAACCTAATAAATAGCTATTTGCAGACCTAAGTACATAATTTTTATTTTAGGAGTTGAGGGTGGAAATAGCTGATCTAATTTGGAGCTTAAGTCTGTTCCTGACAGACTTACATAGTCTGTCACCTTCTAGACTATGTAAGGTTTAAAAAAATGTTACCTACCTACATGTATGTTATTTTTCATGAGCATTTAGCACGTTTAAATGAAGGTTACATCCTCTCTGTAATTATAATTCCATACCGAAGTCAATCTGCTGATTTTATTTTATGAAAAAAACTGATTTCCAATCTACATTAAACTTAATTGAATACATTGAATAGTGAAGGCCTTATGGTCTCATTTATAAAACATGGCCAGTGTCCTCCTTGGCGTTAAAATTTGAGGAAGGGCACTTCGAATGGCTTCCAGTTCGCATGTTTCAGTGCCAGAGCATAGGCGTAGACCCTGGCGTCCACTGTAAGATGTTCTTCTGCTACCAAAGCTAAGGAAGCAAAGACGACAGTTCAGAGATGATGACACGAGAGCCTACTCAGTCACTGTTCACATTGTATGCCATCTCTATACTAGACGCTGGGGACACATTGAAATTACAGAGGAAGATTAAAAGTATGACAGATGCCTCATCAAGCTCAGCACTCGGCCACCTCACTGGCCCACTGTCTCCTAGCTAGTTGTTTGGGAATAAGTTGAAAGAAGACTTTGAGGTCAGGGTTCACGTCCTATTCACCTGTGTATGGCAGAAGTGTATGCCACTCTATGGCAAACCAACAAGAAAGCTGATTACTATATTTGATCATACTGGCTAGGCAAACTAGGTGTTTCATCCTCTCTCTCTTGCTGAATTATCCCCCTTCTAAGACCAGAAGGGAAGTCAGGTGGATAAGAGAAGGAATTCTACAAAGGACATTCTATAAAGAAGATACTTGTCACATATTATTCAAGCACCTGGGGGGTTAAGTATTTGACCTACATTATCTGTTTAATTTTTCTCATGTACCCTCACTTGATTTAGGAAAATGAGAGGCTAGTAACTGACAATGAGCCTCAAACCTCAGGCCTGTCTGATTATTAGCTGTTCTGCTTAATATTGGATACCATGGCTTTTTCTGAAGAAATGTTTAACTTGGCTTTGAGGTACTGAGATGACTTTACCCCAGGTCTAGTTTTTGAAAAGTTGAAGAAATCGATGCTGTCTGGGATCATGAAGGGCTCTGCTCCTTCACAAATGAGTGAATAGGGATCCACAAGCTGGGGCACAGAGGAGCACCTCAAAAGGGCTTTGTCACCTCTTCATTAACAGTATCTCTCACAAAAGAGCTATTGAAATCTAACAGGATTTTGCATTGTGTTTGTGGGGAAGGGCTGATCTAACCAACTGAGCACTGATTTACTAAGGTTCATTTTATATCAGCTTCTCAGTCAAGAGTAAGTTGGAGAAGTGCTGTATGAGTCTTTAACCTGACAGTCCACAAAGAATGACTAACATACCAGCATAGATGGGCTACATAGTTATATCTTGGCACTGGTATGGCTCAAAGATTGTTCCTTCCTATCTGCATGTATACCGTACACTAGAACAGATCATCAGATCTCAGTATAGATGGTTGTGAGCCACCATGTGGGAATTGAACTCAGGACCTCTGGAAGATCAGCCAGTGCTCTTCACCTCTGAGCCATCTCTCCAGCCCTGGATCAAAGATGTTAAGCATTCAAAAGTTTTGGTTAGTCAGCAGGAAAATCACTATTATGTAGGGAAAAAAATTAAAAAGGCCCTTACTAAAGCTTCCCCCCTGACACATAATGTATATTACTTGAAACAGAAAACTAGTATTGGTCAACAGCAGTTTTCAACATTTTCTAGGTGTCTGACATTTTGAGATAAAGATAAAGGGATTACACTAATGCCCTAGTGGATAGAGATGGGAAACCAAGAGAAGGCTGGGTAATAACCTTAAGGTGCTTACCGTCAAGTCTAGTCAGTAGGTCATTCTTTGGTAAACAAATCACTTCCACAAATTCTAAACAAACAGAATACAGTGAAAACAAAACTGAGGAACAGGAGTGAACCCACAGCCCAAATGTCTTCAGCCATCATTACCACTACACTAAGCCATCACACGGTCAGCCACTGGGAGTTTTGAATAGCATACCTCCATCCCCTGCAAATAAAAAGAGGGAATAACATTTGTATTTTAGCACAACCTGCTGTGGCAAGCTTTTAGAAGACTTCAGTGCAGGTATAAAGACTGGAGAAACATCTAACAGAAACCCAAGACTCCTAAACATATCATAGTAAAGTCAATTTCAATTCTATAACACTGTTATTCTCCAAATCAAACATTTCACAGCAAAATACAAAACATATCCCGTAATGCATGTTTGCTACATTTATAATACCCGTGGACAAATACACAATACAAAATTTATAATTTTAACCATTTTTAAATGAAAATTTAGCAAGATTGAGTTAAGAGTTGTACAAACATCACCATTCTTAAGTTCACAATTTTTTTTACCCCAAATCGAAAGTTGGAATTCACCAAACAGTAAGGAAGTCTCTGTTTGGGAATTTCCACTTTCTGTCTCCATGAATGTTTATTCTAGGTTATTTTATACCAGTAGAATCACACATTTTCTCTTTTGAATATAGCTTCTTTCACTTTGCATAATACTGTAAAGGTTCATTCATACTGTAGCATTTATCAAAATTCTACATTTCATCTGCTGATAGAATCCTGACTAGTCTATATTTCTGGCTACTTGTGTGATGATATTATCAATTATATTAGAACCCGAGTCTCTTGTTTTCAGTTTAGTTTATTCCTTTTGGAAATACTGGATTCTGGATAATTTGTTTTGTTTTTGAAGATAGGATTTCTCTGTGCAACAGTCCTAGAACTCTCTTTGTAGCTCATGCTGGCCTCAAACTCACAGAGACCCACCTACCTCTGCCTCCCCAGTGCTAGGAATAAAGGTGTGTGCTACCTTGCTCAACAGACATTTTAGATAATTCTATATTTAATGTCTTAAGGGGGTTCCTAAATGTTTTCCATGTGTTATGAATATTTGTAGTTTAAACAGTTAAGCACTGGCTTAACTAAAATTGGCTACAAAGAGATAATGAATCACATACAGGAATAATTTATAAGGATAAGAAATTACCACTCTATGGTGTGTGTGTGTGTGTGTGTGTGTGTGTGTGTGTATTGATAATCTATCCATCAACTTACCTTTAAAGGGGTGGGAAAAAGGACAGGGAATTGACAGTGTACTAATGCTTCTGAAGCTCAACTTGCTAAGGGATATTGTAGTGCAAAGAATAACCTTACAAACTCTTTAATATAAAACTTGACTTGATAAAGTGATTTTGAAGTTTCTTACTTTTTAGTTAGGCTTGTACCTCATTAAATGGGAATCAATTTCCACACACATATACACCAAAAAAAAAAAAAAAAAAAAAAAAAAAAAAAAAGACGTTGAACATTTTATAAAATTTAACATACATTACATTTTATAAAAACAAAACAAAACACATAAAAGATCAATGAAATGTCAAAGAGAATATGCCAAAAATACCTATCCAACACTGGGAAGCAGTGCTCACAAAGGACCTGTGGCAGACTATGATTCTTTCAAGTTAAAAGATACTCAATGCAGCTCAACCAGCTTAAATATATCCAACACACACTTACCTGGTTTGGGTTTCGGCCTTACATTTTCTGCATCATCTCCATTGATGGTTACTGTCACAACATGTGTGGTACAGTTTGATAAGCCGGGATCCATACACACAGCTGGGAAAAGAAGTGACAGCTTGTCTTAAGGAACAAGATAACTGCCTCGGTTGCTTGCTACTTGTTTCACTAAATGTCATAGAAGAGGTGGGGCTGGCTGAGGTTTAATTCAACCAGTATCTAGTTAGTAGAGGCTACCAGATTGTAGCACATGTATATACTGAAAAAACCTCTCAGACTTCCTGGAGTTCCTATGTCAGTCTTCGAAGTATGAGGGGCTAGCTGGTTCTGATGGGTTCAAACAAACCCAGTGGAGTATGGGCACAGACAGGTAAGTAGCAAGGTTTACTATTTTGAAGACAACTAGGTTTCATAATTTTCCAGTTTCAGGTTCTCCAATTTGCTCTCATGCATTACAGCAGTTCACTCACTCATGGAGAACAAAGCCCCTTTTTTAATTGCAGGAAAGGGGGACTGAAACACTGTTTTACTGTGTAGCTCATGCTAACCTTCACTTTACAATCCTCCTGCTTCAGCCCTGGAAGACTAGGTTTACAAACACGTGTCACTGCAGCTGGATGGAAACCAGTCTAAATCCCTGGTTCCTCTCTGCCTGCATTCCAACCATATAGAACCTCTGCCTCATTAATGGTCAAGAAACTGACATCTGAAGAGTAATACGAACCTGGAGAACATTCAGCAACATCACCTTTGTAGCCAGTTTCTTCCTCCAGCTCCCGAAGAGCGGCTGCTTCTGGGCTTTCCCCATCGTCAATGAGCCCTGGAGGACAGACGGAAGCCAGTGTTCTCTGAACATCTTTCTAGTAATTGCTAAGGAACTGGCTTAAGACTCACAGTGACCCTTGTACATCAGGTAGCTTACAGTAGGTGTTACTCATGCCTCTTGCTTACATCTAGGTGCTTCTCATAAACATCTCAACCATGTTCTGTATAAGAGGGATAACACTGTGAGAAAAGATGATTTGGTGGTGGCCAAATGGCTTAGGTTTCAGAGCCAGTATGTGACTATAGTACAAGAGGCTGATTCTTTTTGTTTCCTTTTATTGTATGCCAACAGTTTACTTATCTTGCTTTCCTACCTCACAGAAAAATAACGAGGACCAGCAATGAAGTGCCAGGAGGGAGTGCCCTAAAGGTTGTGTAGGAGATCATTACTATGGTCACTATGTGGAACAGATAGGCCACACAGGGGGAAAGTTAACAACTCAGGTTCATTTTCCTGAATGGAATGCAACCGTGTAAAGAACAAGAAAAATGTAGGTTGTTAAATTATTAAATCACTTTCAGTTTTATTAACTTTTTTGTATGTTTGGGTTTTGGCTTTTCTAGACAAGGTTTCTCTATGTAACAGCCCTGGCTGTCCTGGAACTTGCTTTGTAGACCAGGCTGGCTTTGCATTCACACAGATCCTCCTGCCTTTGCCTCCCAAGTGCTGTGATTAAAGGTGTGCACCACTACCACTCAGTTAACTTCTTAATAAAATGGCAAGTGAAAAAGAAAAGAGCTAACTATATATTGCCATGAATTGGATTTTCCCCACTTCAGTCCTAGAAATGGGGCATATAGTTACATGTTTTTGTGCATGTTGGGCAAACACTGTACCTAAGCCCTATTGCGCTTCATAAACCCAGCTGCAAAGTATACCACTTTCGATAAATACATGGGATTCATGCATTCCTTCTTATGAGTACAGCCCAATAAATGGCTATAATACTGCATATCGAATTCTGGATGGCTTCTTCAATTACAGCAAAACTGAAAAATACCTCTGATAAAAATCAAGAAAGTTTTCTTGCCCTGTTTGTTTATGGCAGATCAAGGTATCTTCTAGTTATGGCTTTTGCCATTTAGAGTCTTAACTACTGACTACTGTAGTAGTCTTGTGAGTGAAAGACTCTGTTAGTGACAGAAGGGGAAATACGCTGATATACGAATGGAGCAGTTACTGGGAGACTGAGGTCATCGAGCTATGTGGAAAGGGGATGAGGCTACTGAGCTTTGTATTATGTACATGGGTTTGCCTGATCCCAAACACGGTCAGGGCTTGAAAGAGCCTCAGTATAGAAATAGCTTTTTTTTCTTCCTTCTTTCGAGGACTAATGTGGTGTAAGAATCTTCCTCAATTACTCTTCTGCACAAGATCATTCAGTTAGATCACAGATCACTGATATGGCTAGTCTCACTAGCCAGCTTGTTCCAGGGATCTCCTATGGCTACCTTCCAGGGACTGGGATTCTATACCTACCTAGCTTTGACATGGGGTTCTAGGGATCCAAACTCAAGTCATCTTGCTTGCATTGCAAGTGCTTTAATTGCTGAGCCATTTCCCTAGCCTTAGAAATGTTTATTTACTTACAGCTACTTCAACAGAAGAAAAGATGTTAAGATGTAAGCAAGGCAATGCTTAGTCTCAGGCAAAGGGCATGAATGGATTTACTCACCTGCTGGAAACTCCAGGCAATAGCCACCCATTGGGGGTCGGAACTGCTTCACCAGAACAATACACTCATAATGAAGAGTTCTCTGCAGCACTGGGATGATTGACACGACTGTGAAACAGAAATAAAGCTAAGGAATCCTTAAGAAAGATCAACCAGGCCTGCAACCTGTGCTTAGCAATTCAACATAAATTATAGAATTGAAGATGCATCTCAATCACTCTGAATTTGCTGTAGAAGCAGTGAGTAATTAACTTAATCCACCACGTTGGTAGCCAACTTCGAAACTAGTTTCATTTAATAATGTAAAAAGTAAGCCAGGTGATGGTGGTTGGTGAACACCATTAGTCCCAGCAGAGGCAGATGGATCTCCAAGTTTGAGGCCAGCCTAGTCCACAGAGCTCCAGGATGGCCAGAGCAACACAGAGAAACCTTGTCTCAAAATACCAAGAAGAAAAAAAAGTAAAGAGTAACACATCTGTCTCATATACATACGTGTGTGTGTGTGTGTGTGTGTGTGTGTGTGTGTGTGTGTGTATATATATATATATATATATATAATATATATATATATATATATATATTCCTTCCTTTCTTTGGAGGGTCTCTCTGTAAACAGTCCAGTCCTGGAACTTACTCTGTAGAACAGGTTGGCCTCAAACTCACAGAGATCTGCTTGCCTCTGTCTCCCAAGAGCTGGGATCATCTGTCACATTTTAAAAATACTCTTTTAATTATAAAAAGTTTGTTTCTAGTTGTCACAAGATCCCTTTTCTGTTTTAGATGGAGTCTATGTTTTAGTTTCTGTCTACTGCCCAGGTGAACTCAAACTCACAATTTTCTTGCTCTAGCCTCCCAAGTGTATAGGACTATAGGTGTGCACCATCAGGCCCAGTCACAATTTCTTAAAACATGAAGTCAAAACTGAAGCTAAACATGTTACACAGGGCCAAGGATGGGGAGCCCCTGCTCCCCATGCAGCAGCCAGTGAAGTGACACAGGGTGAAGAGAGTGGTATGCATGCCCCTAGATTTCCCTTAAGCTAGATGCCAGTGAAGGTCCACTGTGTCCTCTATGTCAACAGATTGACTTTGACTGTTTTAGAATATAAGCTTTTCCCCTCCAAATAATTTGACCTTAAAATCAGAAAGCCATTAGCTCTGGAGACAAACACCACCAATGAGGATTGTTAGCATGTCCCAAATGCTTTGGCAATGAAGAGCAGCTGTTGCAAAGCAACTGTTTGCCTCCTTAAACAAACCAAATCAAGATGGCAAAACAAAGAGCTCAGCTTTTCCAGACCAAGGGTGACTACCGTTTCTGACATGGTTGCAACCAAGCCATTTATGCCTGGAAGGGGAGATGAACTGAAGCCTTTCCCAATTCTCTTTCCTCTCAATTGTAGCATGAGGGCAGGGAGATCCTTTCACTACACCCAAAGGCACTCACCTTAAGAGTACAAAGGACTCCAGTGGTCTTAACATATGAAGACACAGCATGTGGCTTCAAATGATACTGACATGTTTGGCTATAAAGGTTAATATATCTTTCCTTCAACAGTGTGCTTAGCTTAGCGAACAGGAGCCAGAAGTTACTTATACAGAAAGCTCTAGAACATATAGCACTGTAAAAACAGGAGACTCACACAGAAAAGATCCTATCTGAGGGTAATTCTGCTTTGAGGTCTTTGGTTATATTAAACACCGTCTTATAATCTCATGCGCTAACTTCCTTCATAAAGAGAGTTATAGTAGTCATACCATCAGCAGATTGTCCTTTCCTGGTTGTAAGTTTCACTGTTTCCCAAGTTCTATTCAGGCAGAGAACAAAGGAAAAAAAAAAAAAATCATTAGTGGTAAAGGGAAGACTGGTCTTAGGTTTTCTGTAGACTATCAGAACTCCATAAATGAAATGCATGCAAATAAATATACTAATGAAGTGTTCAAGGACCACAGTAAAGATCTGTACTTAAAACAGCCAACTGTGTTTTCTTCTAGTACATGTGAATAGAAAGAAAACTGTTGTTGCCCTCCATGGGGGCCTCTGGCTGCCAACTCAGCAGAAAGTGGCTGAGCACTAGAGTCCCTGTGTCCCCAGAATACTTTGGTTTGAATTCTAAGTCTATAGTGAGCAGCATAAGCTGGTAGTGCAGCTGTCCAGGCCTTTCCACAGTGATGCAGTCAGCCTCTAGGGACATTACAGACGCATTTCCAAGAACAAAAGGATGCCATGCACAACATGAACCACTGAAATTATGCAGGTTTAAAATATGTGGCCTAAACTACGCAATTCAGGAAAGCAGAATTCCCCACTTCTTTGAGGAATCAGGTTTTCTTTGCATGAGTGTGGCCTTAGGAAAGAGAAAAAGACAAGTCCCTAGAGGAAGTGGTGAAGTGCTTGATGTCACATTCTTGCCCCTTTTATGGCTTCACTTCATGTTAGTGATTTGTTTGTCCTGGCTGTTTATTCTTGGGTCTTGGTGATATCTCTGCTATTCTAAAAACGTTCAGACAAATATCAGGTAGAGTTATATGGGAAATTTGGTGACAGGGAGAAAAAAAAAAAATCATACTGTTCAAAAGGGGGGAGGCAATAATAGGAATTCCACCTCTTTTGGTTCTTATCCCTTGGGGGAAAAGCAGTGTTAAAATAACAATGGAGGTGGTCAGGCAAACACCTTTAGGCTGTGTTTTAAAGGCAGGATTATAATCTAGATGACTCTAGAGACTAGGCTAAGTACGGTCAATTATAAGACATCCTATTTACTCTAAGGGACTTTCTTGCTCACACACCCCCCTCCCCATTGTCCTTGAGGTAGGATAATACCACATTTCTACCAAAAAAAAAAAAAAAATTTATTCCAGATATTAATCTGGCTTAAAACAAGAATAAACAAAAAACCCTTTCTGTAAAACTTTCAGCACTACATCTAAGTTTTATAAGGCAAATGTGTGAAAATAAAAATCAAACAAACTGCTGTGACAACTCACAGTAGCCTAACACTCCTGTTAGTAGCAAGAAAGCCAACCAACAAGCAATTTCCATAAGTAATACAGATTACAAGAGACAAAACACCTTTTGTCATAGTTCTCTGCTGCCTCTTAAGGTTAGTCCTAAAGACTGAAGACAGTGCTGGAAAAGCACTGAACGTCCCATCCCAAATACACTAGGAATAAGGAAAACAGTGGTTAAGGTGAAGTAAATGAGCAGTAATGAGCCACACATTATGATCAGCAGAATAAAAACACATTTCAAACACTACAACAAGAATGCCTAGGTAGCTCAGGCTCCTAGAACTCACAGATGTGTACTCCTGGTAAGAAAAGCTTACCCAGCTAAACCCAAAGCTCCAACAGCTTCCTGCTTTGTGTAATTCAGGAATAAGTAAAGCATCTGGAAAAATCTCTTCAGCTTTAGAATTGGGTTTCCATTGTTTGGTCTCTCCTTGGTCTTTCCCTCTAGCCACTGGTATAGGAGGTAGCAAAAGACAACTCAGCCCCATTGTGAATACCAATGTAAGGACTTAACACTAGTGCTGAACACTTCTAGAATTAATTCCATATCCCTTCTTCCATGAATGGGCTGGTAGTAAAATCATTCTCTAGCTATTTTTACCCTTTATACATATGCTTTTCTTTGAGGTAATAGAGAATGAATTTTTACAAAAAACAAAAAACAAAAAACATGGTCTATAGTCATGTTTCAAAGTTTGACATTATGGTCAAAGCTATTAATCCTGTACATACATAACCCTTCATCAATGACCAGGAGGAAGAGTTATGTATAGAAGAGGGGAAGTGAATATGCTCTACACATGGAGCAAAAACATGGTAGGTAGACTTAAAAACTCACTCCCAAATTAAAGACTAGACTCTCTGGAATGAAACCCAGAAATAGAAATCCTGGAGAAAATATCCCCAAATAGCTGTGCTGGGTAGTTGTAGGTCAACTTGACACAAGCTATGAGTCACCAAAGAAGGGAGCCTCATTTGAGAAAACATACATGTAAATAGGACACTTTCATAGTGATTGATGCAGGAGGGGCCGGCCTACTACGGGTGTGCCATCCCTGGGTTCTATAAGAATGCAGTCAAAACAGCCATGAGGAGCAAGCAAGCCAGTAAGCAGCATGCCTCCAGGGCCTCAGTATCAGCTCCTGCCTCCAGGTTCCTGCCTTGGAATCACCAGTGATATGGAAGCATAATTAAACAGTTTCCTCAAGTTGCTTTTGGTCATATTGTTTCATTGCAGCAATACCTGGGACAATGACTTAGGTATATATTTTCCTGATGAGTAAATACCTGAAAGTTAGTCAGGTGAAGATACAAGATGGTGTGGACGGTCATATATATTCTTTAGATTTCTTAGTGTTAAAGGTTGCGTTTTGCATTATAAACTTTATACTGAGTTCTAGTATCTACACATTTCATAACATAAATCCACTGCACATACTGTACTACCTGTAGCTTAGATCTTACCACATGGTTTGTCCTGGGTTTGCACCCATCCTCTGTTTACTCCATATTTAGCTCTTTTCTGTCTGTTAGTATGTCTCTAATAATGGGCCTTATTAAGGTTTGAGCTAGTTTAGCAGTGTAAAGAGTATGTTTTTTCCACCAGCCTGGCCGGAACTTAAAACTTAAAAATTTTACTGTAATATTGATGTTTAAGTTTTCCACAAGGAATACAAACAATTCTTAACACCAACCTTTGAACTCTCCGGAAAGAAGATGGGGCCCCATGTCGTCATTTCCACTTAACTCAACCTGATGCATCTGGACTACAAATATCACCCTAAAACCGGTTAAAGACTGTTTTGCTCAAGACAACTCATGACTACCAAGCTGTAATGGTGCACATTCTTATTACACCTTGGCCAAAGTTTCAAACAGAACTACAGTCAAGCATTTTCTGCCACACAGTGACTAGCTACATATGTCACAGCCAGTTCTGTTTAGAAATTTGGTTGCTAAAAATTTTCTTCCCACAGGATCCCACAGATCAATCATCGTCCCATTTCAGCAGGAAGTAACCTTAAGATAACGACGCCCCCTTTCCCTACACTTGGAATTTGGGGATAATATTCATCTTCTTTGGGTTGGTTTTAGTTACTTAAGGTTGGGTATGGAAGGTGATGCTTAGACTCTGGTTTATCTTTTAGACAGGAATAGGGTATGGTTGGGAAAGATATGGTTTAGATGGGATATAGGTAGATTAGCCTATCTTCTTGTGAATTATTGAGTAAGAGTGAAATAATAGTATTGTACAGCTTACATTGTTATATATTCTTATCTGTGGTAAAATTAAGTTTATATTCCCTTCCAGGAAGAATTGTATATTTTGTTATATTGTGTGAAATCTTTCCACTTATGATGTTTTAATGCACATTATTCTTACCATATTCTATACTTTTACTTATGTTCGACATTTTGTATATTGATACAATTTATGCACATTTATTCTTGCCATATCCTATGTACGTATACTTTTCTTGTATTCAGGACATTTTGTATATTGATACATTTGGGGATATTTATCATACTGCCCTTTATAGTTCTACCTCTTGTCTAGACATTTCTATTCTACCTCTATTTTAGGGATATATATATATACATATATATACATATACATATATACATACATATATATATATATATATATATATATATATACATACATACATACACACACATAGTTATATTGTTTAGGTATTTATCCCTGCTTTACTCAAGGAAGTTTTAATCAGTTTTTTTAGCTAAGTTCCTGAGTATTACAGATTATCTTCACCCATGTTTCCTTTAATTATGAGATTAGTCAGACATAGATGCTTAATCTTCAATCACTTCATAGACATGCAGAACATGGCATTTAAATGTTTTAATATTAGTACTCCGTTGACATGAGGCACTATGGCTCCTGACAGCACAGTGCATTTTCCCGAAAATATGTTGGACACTGTTGTTGCTCCTTCTGGAATTCATCCTCGCTTCGGCTAATGGCCTCTTGGGCAAAGAACCGCCCCCACCTTGACTGATTTGAACATGCTATGTCCTATGTGCTTGCAGGAGACAAATACAGAAGACTGCTGAACCTTGCCAAGTCAGGGTAAGACAGCCTTTCTACCTCCCTGCTGTTGTTGTGGTCTGTCAAGTATTCTTGGCCTTAGCCAAAACTGGGTGTACCAATGTTGCTGTAAGACCTTGGGTGACTGTCCAGGTAGCCTGCTGTTTCTGTCCTCGCTGAACCTTTTGGAAGTTGCCCATCCACACTTCCTGTCTACCCTAGTATCGTTATTTTCCTTCTCAGGTCTTGATGAGGTTGGAGATTAAACTATCACAACTATTATTCTCTCTTTCTAGTTAGATATATTAGGTACTAGACTAAAGTTTTCCAGCTTAGGACAACTCTACTGTAAACTCCGTTTTGCCTTCACCCTAGGACTAGATATGTAAGTCTCATTTTGTTCTTGATTTTCCTTTTCTTAGAGGACCCTTGCTATTCACTGTTTTGTATAGTTTTGTATAAAGCCTAAATCTTTTCTTTAGATTAAAAAGGGAACTGTAATGGGATATTCACTTTGTCTCCTTTTTGTGGCACTGACCACACCCATGGGGGTGGAGCCAGGGGTGGGTGGAAGTGACCTGGGGAACTAAGTCTGAGGAGAGGCGGGAGAGCACTCTTGCAAGCTGCACGGGGACAGGAGGAATTCTTGGAAGCAGGAACCTGTTGGTGTTCACCTGTCTATGTTGTGAGTTATTTCTCCCTGAATAAACATCTGTTCGGCCTAATTGTTTATTCTTTACAGAATGACATCTCCCATCACAGCAGAAACAGTTAAATTTTGTTTCACTCAAACCAATCTATGTATTGACATCTTGGGAAATGCATTTACTCACACAAAAAACATGATTCTACCATGACTGTGCAACAAATGGAATTTATTCTATTTTATTCCTTATTACATTTCATTGAGTAAATAGTAAACCTATTTAACACATTATTTTATTCCAACTGATTTGTTTGTTTGTTTGTTGTGGATGGGATCAAACCCTGGGGCTTTGCACATGCTAGGCAAGTGCTAGATCACTGAGCAGTATTCACAGCTCCTTTTAAAGATAATAGCCAGCAATGGTTTTGTTTTCTTTCAGTTATTTTAAATCAGACATTAAAAATGTATAAGGAAAAAAAATGTGGAAGGAAGCAATAGACACTGTTGAGTATTCTATAGCAATAGACACTGTTGAGTATTCTATAGCTTGTTAGGGCAGAATCACAAGTTTTAGGTCCACAATGCTATGGAGAATGGAGTTAACATGGGTTTTAGATTAGGTATAAAAACTGTAATTCAGTTTTATTCAGAGATTACCAATGAACCAAACATTTAGCAATAGAGTAAGAGCTGGCCTCAACTCTTTGTTTAAAGGAGAGCTTACAATGATGAATCACCAATGTTCACCCAGACACTCAACAGAGCCCTGAAAAAAACCAAAGGCAGAAAAAAAAAAAAAAGAAAAAAAGTTTACCTAGTTTTACCAGTAGGATCCATGTAAGTTGTTTTTTCAAATTTGACCCATTTGCCTTCTGAAATCAACTAAAACAAAATCAGATAGTTATAAAGTAGGAAATTTTCAAACCAAGTTGGTCTTTTATAAAAAATTCAAAACATGTATTCTTTTAAACAGCCTCCCCACTCCCAACCACACTCAATTTGTTTCCCTCCCAATAATTTGTGGGCAAGTTTTTAGCTTGGAATAATTATTCAAAGTTGTTTCCTAAGAGTAGGGCCTTTTTTTGTTGTTTTGTTTTTGAGGTAGAACTAAGAGGGAAAGGAATTGAAATCTAGGGATGAGAGTAGAGCAGGTGTGGCTCAGTGCTGGTAGGCACTTGCTGTTTGAAAAACATAAATAACACCTGGGCTGGGGAGAAAAAGGTAAAAGAAGGGAGTATAGGGGGAAGAGATCTTCTGGGTGTTTCTCAAGTCCTAACCCCAGCCATGTATGCGTGCAAAGCTGACCACACTGGTGTGTAGTTGTAAAATTTTACTAGGAAAGCAAATCAAAGACTAGATTTTCTTTCTGACACCCAAGTTCCCACCCAATCCAAGACAGGCATCAGGAACTGCTCTGCCCACACACCAAGGAGTCTGGGAGCATAACTCACCTATGGCACTAGGCTGAGCCAAGGAGACTTTTCACTGTGAACATAAAGTAACAGCCTTTTCTTACTAGTCTCCTCCCCATCCCTTTTTGCTATCACTGACCTAATCACTATCAGATTTGTTCACAGACAACATGGACAGATTCTAAATCAAAGAGAATTCCAGAGAAGTGTCAGGACCAGAGTTCCAGGATGATTATTTAAAATTTATTCACTACAACAACTGGTTCCTGAGAGAAAAAGACCCAAAAAGCTTTATTCAATAACTTTAGGTCTTTATTCAATAACATTAGTTCTAGAACTCAGAGGAATTTGAACTATGATTAACAATTGTTATTATTTTAAACATCCATGCTGGGATGACAAACAGCTAAGATGCAATTACTAAATATGAAATCTCAAAGCCACATATTATGTGCAAAACACAAATTATTTGTTTTTCTATCCAGGGCAAATTTTAGAAAGAAGAATTTCTCTATCAGGAACAGAAATCTACTTATTCTCAATTTCATTAAGACATATAATTAAGTCGGATAAACCACTGTACTCAGACAACAGCAAAATGTAAACAACCCCAAGGCAGTAAAGAAAAAAAAAAAAAGCCTGCACATCCACTTTAAACTTAGTGTTATGTGGGGGAAGGGGAAGGATAGGGAAATACAAACTCTACCTCCTCTGAAATGATGTGCTGTTTGCCGTTCTGAGAAGAATCTGTTGATTCTCGGTTTTCCATGTCAACCTAGTTGGTCTCCACAATCCTCCAATGGAAAGTTTGCTGTAAGGGAGAGATTTGTTCAGGTTCCCTCAAACACGGGTCACTAGTCAAAGTACTCAAATAGTTAAAAGAAAGTTAAAGCATCTTCCCTCATGTGACTTTCAGGGAGAATGGTGGCAGAAAGCATGCAGAGGTGACATCCTGGGAGAATTCAAAGCCATCCTATTTAGATTCAGTTTGCATTAACCAGGGGTCCGTCCATTCCCACTAAGGTTTTCTCATTTTACATTTCACTCTTTCCGGAGAAAAACCACCAAAGGACAACACACCACTTTCCACACCCACTTCTCATTATGGTCAACAACCAATGCTTTATTTCACAGGTGAGTCGTTTTTCTGAGGCAGGTCTTGCAATGCATCCCAGGCTACCTTGAACTCCTGCTCCCCTTGCCTCAGTGTCCCCACTGGGGCAGTGCCATCACACCAGGCTCAAACTTACAGAGTTGTCTATGACAGCACTTCTACCTCTCAACTTCTTCATGCGGCAAGCCACCTTCAATAATTTCAAGTGCTATGTCTGTTTTCTGTGTGCTGGGGTGGCACCCAGGGCCTCATTTATGCTAGGCATGTGGTCTACTATAGTTGTTTGTTTTTACTCCTTAGGGGCCTACCACTCAGCTTCCAAATAAATACAAGGAGACTTCTTTTTACTTAGGAGTGTCTGGTCTTAGCTTGGCTTGTTTCTAGCCAGCTTTTCTTAAATTATCCTGCCTACTATTTGCCTCTAGGCTTTCTCTATTTCTGTATATCTCTTCTCATTCCATGTCGGCTGTGTGTCTGGCCTCCTTCTTCTCATTCTTTCCTGTGTGTCTGGCCTCCTTCTTCTCATTCTTTCCCTCCATTTATTATCTCTGCCTGTCAGCCATGCCTATCCCTCTCTTGCTTAGCTATTGGCTGTTCAATTCTTTATTATACCAATCAGGTGTTTTAGGCAGGCAAAGTAATACAGTTTTACAGAATTAAACAAATACAATATAAAAGAATGCAACATATCTTTGCACCATTAAAACAAATATTCCACAGCATAAAAGAATGTAACACATCTTTAACTAATATTCCACAACAGTCTACTTTTCTCCCCCCTGATAAAAATTCATTTTATTATGTATGTGTGAGTTTCTGTGTACCATGTGTATGCAGGTCCCTGTGGAGGACATTGGGTATGCATCATATCCTCTGGAACTAAAATTGCAAGCCATTGGAATCATATTGCAATCTGTAGTTGATTTGAGTCCTCTGGAAGAGGACTTAACTGCTGAATCATTTCTCCAGGAACACCCCTAGCTTTATTTCTTTATTTTTGTATTGTTGTGTGAGTGTGGGTGTACATGTGTGCCTTTGGAAGTTAGAGAACAACTTTTAGGAATAAGTTCTCTTCTTCCACTATGGTTTCTGGGAATCAAACCCAGTTTGTCAGGCCTGTGTGGGAAGACTTTTACTCACTGGGCCATCTCACTAGCCTAAATGACCAGTCCTTTCTCTCTCTCTCTCTCTCTCTCTCACACACACACACATATGAACATAGATTTTGGAAGTAAAAAGGAAACAAGTCACATAGCCATCACAACTCAGAGGCAGTCACTTAGCATGTTGACATCTACAGCGTGCCTAGGAGAAGAGCTAGTTACTCCTCTGACAGTGGCTCAGATGGCCATTTACTTAGGCTAGCTTTAAAGTGATACTGAAGGAAATGATTTCCATCACCACAGGTAATCAACACAGAATGTGGACAACTGGCCAAAGGCAGAAACACAGTGAGTCTCAGCATGCACTCTACACTCACATAAAAGAACTGTAGAATTCTTCTGTTTCTTGAGACAGTGCCTCACATAGTTCAGGCTGGTCTTAAATTTGTTATGTAGCAGAGGCTGGACTTGAACACTGGATTCTCCTGTCTTCATCTCTCAAGTGCTCAGTAAAGGGCCTTTTATCTTCTAGATATCTATTCCTTCTTATTAATAACACACAGCAGGCAAGGAAATGTGCTGATATAAGGAAATTTTTGAATTCTAATTCTAAAGAAAAATAACTTTAAGGCAACCACGCAGCCCCTCTGAATGGATAAATTCAACTGTCTAGGATGGCACAAAAAGGTTGTAATAAGTTTCCATCTCCTTAAAAAAAAAACACTTTAGTTTTCTTTTTTTTTTTTTTTTGTATGGCTGGAACCCAGAGCTTGCTTCATCCTAACAAAACAAGTGTGAGCCACCACACCCATCTAATACCAGGATGTTTAGAGGTGGGGCAAGCACACACATTTAAGGAAAATACTACAAAACTTTTAAAAGGTTGGTTTAATATTTACAGTTGATCAGAAGCCAAGAAAGCAGGGGAGTACTGAGAAGAATTTTTGATTTTGATTTTAAAGGGGATTACAGTTAAGAGTGTAGTGAGATGTTTTACTATTTTGACTCTTGGTTTTTTTTTGAGGGGTCCACCACCCAGCTCCCAAATAAATCACACATGGAGGCTTATTCTTAGTTATAATTGCCAGGAGTTAGCTTGGCTTGTTTCTAGTTCTCTGGGCTTTTATCTGTCTTACTTTTCTTCTTACTCACTGTCTGGCTGGTGGGTGGCCTGTTGGGCCCTGAGGTCCTACTCCCATTGTTCTCTCCTTGCTCTTTTCCATCCTCATTTCTCCTTTTATTTATACCTTCTGCCTGCCAGCCCCACCCATCCTTGTTCCTGCTTTGCTATTGGCCATTCAACTCTTTATTAGGATCATCAAGTGTTTTAGACAGGCAAAGAATCACAGCTTCACAAAATTAAACAAATGTAGCATAAACAAAAGCCACACACCTTAAAATAATGTTCTACCACATTAGAGACTGCAGGAATCTCAGAAGAGACATTGAACTTTAGACTTTTAAATAAGCTTGGGACTGTGGTAGACTATGGGAATTTGTGAAGTTGGATTGAATACATTTTTGCATTATGTTATTTGTTATAAGGGCCAGGGAATGAAATGTGCAGTTTGAAAAAAAGAAAATGCCCCCACCAAAGGAAGTGGCACTATTAGGAGGTGTGGCCTTGTTGGAGGAAGTGTGTCACTGTGGGGGTGGGCTTTGAGGTTTCTTATATGCTCAAGATACTGCCAGTGTCTCAGCCCACTTGCTGTTACCTGCAAGTCAAGATGCAGGATGTTTGGCTACTTCTCCAGCACTGTGTCTGTCTGATTGCCACCATGTTACACCATGATAATAATGGACTACACCTCTGAAAATGTAAGCCCAATTAAGTATTTTTCCTTTAAAAGAGTTGCCATGTTCATGGTGTCTCTTCAGAGCAACAGAAACCCTAACTAACAGTTTCAGTGGGAGATACAATCTCATGTTGTGGAATAATCTTTTTGTATACTGTAAAGATGTGTCACTTTGATTGATTTAATAAAAGCTGAACAGCCAATAGCTAGGCAGGATTTCCAGGCAGAGTGGACCCTGGGAAGAAGAAGACAGAGATGCCAGGGGATGCAGAGTAAGCAGGATGGGCAGTATAGATATGAGGTAATAAAGCCACGAGGCAGATGTAAATTAGCAGAAATTGGTCAATTTAAGTTATAAGGGTTAGTTAGAAACAAGACTAAGCTAAGGCCAAGCTTTCATAATTACTATAAGTCTCTGTGGTTTTTGGTTTTCTTTCTTTCTTTCTTTCTTCCTTCCTTTCTTTCTTTTCTTTTCTTTTTTGTGAGCTGGTAGTTCAAAGAAAAGCCCAACTACAACCTCAAAGACCTCAACTCAGCACAAAGAACTACAGGCAACAGGAAAGCTGAATGTGAGAGAAATAATCTTCCCCAGGAAAGAAACACCAATTAGTTGCCCAATACCAAATGTTTAGCCCTGAAAAATATACATACACGTTAACTTTATCCAGACTAAGCTACTTATATTTAGGAATATAACATGCAATAACAATTAGTGAAAAAAAAGAAGCCATGGTTTTGAAAAAATACAAGGAAGAGTATATGGTAGGACTGGGAGGGAGGAAAGGGAGAAATATTATAATCTCAAAAGTTATAAAAAAGATAGGTGAGAGTTGAGATGTGAGAAGTGAAACTAGAAACTGAAGTCAGCCGGTGGACTTTGCACCCTGGCTCAGTGCTACCATTCCTTGAATTGCTGAAATTTGTTCAGAATGGAGAGTGAAACAAAATCTTAACAAGACTAAGACTAACATGTTCACTTTTGGTAAAATATCACTAATGGCATCAGCATTGCTTAGTACTCATTCTGTGTAAGAGTATAAGAGCAGGACTTTGTCATTTGGGAGGCTGACACAGAAGAAAGGCCTGAGGCCACCACTGTGCAACCAGCATGGATAATATAATGAGATAACAGTTCAAAAACGGAAGGAAGAAAGAAAAGAATGTAGAAGTTCAAACCATAAGCAAAGCCCCACTGACAAACAGGCAGTTGACAGTTATATAATGATAGAGAAATAAACGAAGAAAGAAACTGAGTGGGGCAAAATTTGTGTCTTTATGTGGGGTGTATACAAGCTTGTGTGTGGCTGTGTGCACACATGCATGCGTGCGCACAAGTGCGTGGAGGCCCGAAGTCAACCTTCACTGTTTGTTCAATCAGGAACTGCACACTTTTTCTTTTGAGACAAGGTTGGACACTGGGACCTGGGGCTTAGCAGTTAGCTTAGGCTGTTTGTCCATCATCCCAGAATGCCTTCTGTCTGCTTCCCCAGCACTGAGATAACAAGTTGAACCATAATCCCTGGCTTTTTACAAGGGTGCTGGGGATCAAACTCAGGCAGGTATCTTGAATGGAAAGTACTTTCTGACTAAGTTATTTCCTAGCCACTCCCACCAAATTAAAAACTTCAATTAAAAAATTTGAACAAATAATTTAGTATGATTTTTTTTTTTTAAAGCTCTGGCTATCCTGGAACTCTCTTCTTAGGCCAGGCTGGCCTTGATCTACCTGCTTCTGCCTCCCAAGTGCTGGGATTAAAGGCATGTGCCACTACGACTGGCTAAATGCACATATTTCTATCCATAGACTGTTACCATTCTCAGTCTTAGTCAAAGAAGCCTCTTTCCAGTTAGTTGAGATGCAGTTAGAGGCTTATGACTCTTGTGACTCTAACTTATAACATTCCAGCCAAAGCTCAGGGGAACACTGTGGAAGTCTGTGAGAAAAGAAAAAGCTGGTAGACAGGAAAAGGGCTGAGGAATGCCATCTTACGGACAGCCATTGCAACCAAGAACTCCCCCAAACTACTGATTATCAAAATCATTCTACTCAACACCCAGACAAGGATGGAGGAGGGATTCATGGGGCCTTACCCCTCACTGTTGAACTATTTCCTATATATAAATCAATGACAGAGGGAGTCACTGTCATCAGCTGAGTAGCCACTGGTGACTCCCAGCAGGCTACAATGGACAATCCTAATGGTCACACAGTTGGTTCTGACTAAACCAAATGGTCACACAACAAAACCAAGTCATGAATCTGGAGAAATGACATGTAGAGAAGAAGGGGCATTGCCATGGATGGGAAGGAGGTAAGAGAGGGTTGGAAGAAACAGTAACCAGTGTACACATGTCAATGAATTAATTTAATAGAAAAAAGTCATCTCATATAGTAAAGAACCAAGAATGAAATAACTAGTATAAAAAACAAGTTTAGCTACTATCACAACTTTAAAAGTTTACTTTTTTTAGAAACAGAAAATATACATTCTTTTCTACTATACGTGGTGAAAATGTTGATACCCATATCAAATCAAATATATTTCAGTGCTCTTCCTTTCACTGAAAATTATTGTCAGACTAATGGAGAGATCATGTACTCACATTGCTAAGGGTGGAAAGACACTCAAGCTTACAATGTATTTTTCTCCCAGCAAGGATGGGCCATAGGGGTGGTAAAGGAAGGGACTGACATTTATTGAGGCTATATTACTTGACTAAAAGAAAAATCATTTACCACAGTTTACTATTATATCACTTAATTACTTTGTCCTAAACATGAATTATTTTAGGGAAGTGAATACAAGGTGGTTCCACAAAGATTTTAAAGGAGACTGGAACAGTGTTCATATTTGGATACATATTGAGTTTGTGGCTTTGCAATATTTATCTAGAAGTCATGCTATGAATTCAAGGAAGAAAATGCCTTTTTCTTTTTCTTTCTTTCTTTTTTTTTTTTTCATTTTGGAATCACTTAGTAAATCCCCTTGCTTTTAATAGTACTGACATAAAAGATCCTGAGGCTGGTGAGACGGCTCAGAGAGTGCTTGGTGTGTCAGCCTGAGTACTGAAGTGAAATCCCTGGAGCCCAAAATGGCAAGAGAGAACTGACTCCAAAAAGCTGCAAAGTTGTCCTTTGATCTCCACATGCCTGTTATACTGCCCAACTGCAGTGGCACATACTAAATATGATTATTTCTTTCTGCCATTGTATTGTAAGGTTTTTACTGAAGAAACTGAATATAAAAAGTTAAAAATAAAAACATGGTAGTTAAAAAATAGATAATTTAGCTCTACTGTTCAAAACACTTGAACATTCAGTAACTATGAACTTACTGAATTCTGCCTAAGTCTGCAGCAGAACCTTCTACACTACTGAAAGCAGTTATTGAAAACACAGAATACAGAGCAGACACACCTGGTGCCTGGTGGTGCACACCTTTGATCACAGCACTCGGGAGGTAGAGGCAGGTGGATCTCTGTTAGTTCCAGACTAGATTGGTCTACAAAGCAACGTCCAGAGCAACTAAGGCTACACAAAGAAACCCTGTCTGGAAAAACCACAACAAACAAACAAGCCATACAAGACTCTGTTCCAGTTTCTTTCTCTGCCCTGCCATCCTCCTTACAACTTAGCTGATTTGCTCCAAGTAAAACTGTCTCAGTCTCTGAACCCAAGTGTTCACTGGGCTGTTAAAGTACTGCTTTGCCCAAATGAATAACATTCCTGGGATCTGCTTTCTCCCATATATCAATTTATGTCTTCAACAAAAAAACACTTTACCCAAATGCACCCCAACCAGGGCTAACATTTCTTCCCACCGCAAACTTTGTTTCCAGGCCAGTAAAACAGGTATTAGTGTTGCTCTTACTTATGCTCTGCCTCTTAGCTGTGCAAGCAAGCATCATCCCCAGAAAAAGGAGAGGGAAGACATGGATTATTGCCACTTTCCCTCAAAACACAGAGGACTAGCCAGACCTGGTGGTATATCCCTTTGATCCTAGCACCAGGGAGACAAGTGGATCTCATTTGAGGCTAGCTTGGTCTACAGTGTTTCTCAACTTCCGTGATGCTGTGACCTTTTAATATAGTTCTTCATGCTGTGGTGACCCCAATCATAAAGTTATTTCATTGCTACTTCATAACTGCAGTTTTGCTACTGTTTTGAATAATAATGTATCTGATACACAGGATAACTGAGGGGTTATGACCCATATATTGAGAACCAGTGACATAGAACATTCTAGTACAGCCAGAATTATAGAGACCGTGTCTCAAAGCAACAAAACAAACAACAAAACAAAAACAAGGGGCTGATTAATTCTGGATTTCACAGGTTCTTAAATAGGAATCTCTGCAGTCTAGAATCCACTAATGTGCATTGCAACATTATAATCCATTTATCTTGGCTTTGAAAACGTATTCTTTAAGCAATACTTCCAACCTCTTGACCTGTAACTTTTTAAACAAGTTATACTTCTGCTTTGTGTGTATTCTAACTCAAAATGCAAAGTATTCTATTGATTAATTTTAACAAATATCTTTCTACAGAAGTCGACAGTGGCTGGGATCTGATCTTTCTAACTTTAACTGCTAGACAGGCTGGGGAAAATGTGAAGGTTTTTGTTTGTTTGTTGTATCTGAAATGCGGTGCTTTTGGACCACATTTGGAACAAGCCCACGGCTTGTAAATTATAGGAGGCACCAGTGAGTTTTAAAGGCCTATCTCTTGCAGTTGGTGGTTTTTCCTCCTCTTAAAGAAATAAAACTGAACTTTGTAGGGAGACAGATGGAAAAAGGAGTAGGGAGAAAAATGATACCACAAGTTCACATATAAACTCTTTCAACCTTCTGATTTCACCATTGCAGAGATACTGATAAAAATCTGTGCTTTTTCCACACTGGTAACTTTTTCCAGACTGAACTAAATGAACTTTAAGCTTAAAAGACACAACTTTCCGCTTTTCCTTGCTTTCTCAGACGAACATCGCCTCTTTCATCTCTAGGACCGTAAACTACCCCCCCCCCCCGAATTTCTTCCCTGTGTTTCTTGAAATCCACTTTCATGAATGAGAAGGGACCATTCTTGTGGATGCCTCGACTAATGTGTTCAGACGTTTACTGTGCTGTTCCCTGGTTCCTCTGGTAGTCCAGGCTGCTTCGCCGGGATCTCGGGTTCTCCTCCAGCCTGAGCGCGGACAGGGAGACACGCGCGCGACCGGCTGCACTCTAAGCACCATCAGCTGTGCTCGCGCCCTCCTTTCCTTTCCCCTCTGCAAGGACACTTAGTACCGAGATTGGCTCGCGCCCACTTACCTACACTAAGCTGTGGGATGTGGAAGGAAGGGATGGAGGAGGAGAGGAAAAACAATCAAACAGAAGCCGCAGTCTCCGCAGAAGCAGGCGCCACCACTAGAGACACAGGCGCCTCTCGCGGTGCAAGGAGGATGTGCACACGTCCTCCTCCCGGCACCCGTAGAAACTCCGCTCTCTTTAGATGATTACCTTCCGGGTCGAGGTGCTTATAGACGAAAGAGAAGTTGTAAACCTCCTAAAACCCTACACTTCCATGACTCTTCTTTCCAGGACTCAAATTCTTTTTGTATCTCGCGAGTCTGTTCGGCTATAGTAAGCGTACTCTGCACCATTACTTTAGTTTCCAGCACCTCCTGACTTTTACGGACCGGAAGAGTCCTTTCATCCAAAGAGCTCGGTGGGCACTTCCGGAAGTAATACGTCGGGTTCCGGGAGAGTGCTGACGGGAGAGGAGAAAGGCAGCGATTGACGCGGCAGGTGGAGGATGAAGAAGGAGCATGTTAGTCACTGTCAGTTCTCCGCCTGGTACCCGCTCTTCCGAAGCCTTACCATCAAGAGGTAAGATACCTGGAGGCGAACTGCGGTGTTGGGAAAATACCATCTTCAGAAAACTAAACAAGAAGGCAGGCCTTCTAACGACTCAGTGTGAGCGACGGTGATGAGCTGTCGACCTCCTTAGATTTGAGAATTTGCCATGTTTCCTCTTGCGAGTCAAGGAGCATGTCAAGAGAGGTAGGAAAGCAGTGAGGGTCATAGGCAGGGTAAATTGAGATCGATACTTTGGCAATTGCCAGACGCTCCAGGCAATAAACAAAGTAAAACTGGGTAGTCCGCCTTGCCCCTGACTAACCCGTCCGGCGACAGTTGAGTTCCATCACTGTAAAATGAAGCCAGTGATGCTGACCCGACCTTTAAGTCTGTTGTGAAGCTCCAGTACGGTAGTGTATAGGAAGCATTGGATGGCTACATTTACCGATAGTGCAGTTTTCTGAGAAGCAACAATCCATTTGGAAAGAGAGTGGGTTTGTACTTGTTCTCTAGTGCCCTGGACTAGCACAAGGAGTCAATGTGGGTTTGCAGAATGCCTGTAGTAAATTGTTACATCCAGTATCTTAACAGTCAAATGCAAGGAAGCTAGGAAACTATCTCCAGCCATTCAAAGCAATCATAAAATCTGAAAGATGCAGGTAAGGATTTCATTCACTAACAGTGGTAGGATCCAAAGGCCTTGGGTATCCATGGGTAGATAGGATTTCTTGCATTTGCTCACTTCTCCTCTAGGTCTACTTAGATTGTCACTTATTTGGACATCAACTATCTTTCCTTTTTCCTTCGGTACTATTTTTGAATTTTGAAGGCTTGGAAGAGCACTTGCAGGTTATTCAAAAGACAGTTCTTTTCCATCTTGTTGTATGGAATTTATAGCAACACAAAAGAAGATAACTCTTGCATTTGAAGGTGGCCAGTCACACCAAAGAAGAGCTGTTGATGCACCAATAATTCCTGCCTATCACTAGTTATCTTAACTAGCTGATATACCAGTCTTTCCTTAAATTACATAATTAAAGTTAAGTTGTATGTCTGAAATAATGTTTGGATTATTTTTTTCAGCGTTGGTATAGCAGATGGTTCACTTGTGAACCTATCAGTCATTTCTGTGCTAAAATCCCTCCCCCCCCTTTTTTTTTGTCTGTCTGTTTTGAGAGAGTCTGGTTATTGAATTGGTGACCTTCCTACCTTAGTCTCCCAAGTGCTGGGGTTACAGACATGTACCACCATTCTCAGCCCAGCAACTAAAGATCCTTAAAAACTGTCCTTTGGTTTTTATGTAATTGTCTGTTGCAACCTCTGGCATAGTGTTCCTTTGCCTTAAGAATAAGCATACAGTGATTAAGATTTAGGCTCTAGAGTCAGAACCATCTGTCTGACTTTGAATAGTGGTTGGATCAGCATCTTCAGCAAATGACTTAATCTCTCTAATCCTTATTTGGAAAGTAATAGGATTGTTGTGAGTGTTAATTATGATAAATTACTTAAAGTGCTGCCACCCTTTCTGGTACATGGTAAACACACACACAAATGTTTGTTTCCTTTTGGATTTAATAAAACCCCCACTGAAGCAAATTATTTTAGTTCACTTAAAATGTATGCCACGTATATGAGGATGATAGTGGAATTAAGCCAATAAGTGGGATTTCCTGGCATCACTAGACAGTCTCTGACTAGGTTGTGGTGCCTAAAACCACCTTTAAAATGTTCATTTGTTTATTTATTTAACTTGTATGTGTATGTGTGCATGTTGGGCATGTGCAGGTTACAGGACAATTTGCAGGAGACTATTTTCTCCTTCCACCGTAATCTTTTTGTACATTGTGAAGGTGTGTCTTTGCCAACGTGCCTTCTCACTGGCTAATAAAGAGCTGAATGAGCAATAGCTAGGCAGGAGAGAAAGCTGGGGAAAGAAGAAAGGAAGAGTTGTCAGCCAGATGAAGGAGCAAGGGTGAGCAAGAGGTGCAGGAGGAGAGGTACATGGCAGAGCACTGATGAATAGAAATGGGTTAATTCAATAATTTAAGTTGTAAGAGCTAGTTAGAAACAAGCCTAAGCTATAGGCTGAGATTTCATAATTAGTAAGTCTCTGTTGGTTTTTCTGTTTTGTTTTTTGTGAGCTGGCAGCCCCACCCCTATTAAAAAATCCATCTACATTTCTCCACTGTGACTAGTTCTTTTAAATGAGACCTTATTTTGGTATATATCTTTATTCCAGTGTCATTCTCCCACTTCCTCAGAATGTGAAAGACTATTTACTCGACGATGGAACTCTGGTGGTTTCCGGAAGGTAAAGTAAATCAGAAAACAATTCTTTATAATCATAAAGAAACAGTGTACTGATTAAATCAACATTTTTGCATGGGTGAATGGATTAGCCTAGGTACACCATCCTTTTCATTCAGGAGGCAGAGGCAAATGGGGCTCTGTGAGCTAAAGGCCAGCCTGGTCTACATAGTGATTTCCGGGGCCAACCTGTACACAGTAAAAGCCTGTCTCAAAATAAATAAATAATTAAATAAATAAACAAACAAACAAATAAATAAATAAGCAAGTTCTTGAGATTTATGTTTAGGTCCTCATAGTTGCATAGCAAGTGATTTTACTCCCTAGTCACCTCTTCAGCCCCATGTTTGTTTTTTTGAGAGAGTTCTATTGAATTCCCACACTGGTCTGTAGTTTACTATGTGTGCAAGTTGACCTCATTATTGTCTTCTGGATTTTTAGTGTAGTTTTCTGGATTGTATTTCTGGTTCTTTATCACTAATAACCTCTTTTTAAAAAACATTCATTACTTATTTATTCCTATTTTATGTGCATTGTTGTTTTGTCTCTATATATGTCTATGTGAGTATGTTAGATCCTCTGAAACGAGTTACAGACAGTTGTGAGCTGATATGTGGGTCTTGGGAATTGAACCCAGATCCTCTGGAAGAATAGCCAGTGCTCTTAACTGCTGAACTATCTCTGCAAACCACTGAGCTATCTCTCCAGTCTCTTCCTCCCTCCCTCCCTTTTTTCTTTGTTTGTTTTTGTTTATTTTTCAAGATAGGATTTTCTGTGTAGTTCTGGCTATTCTAGAGCTTGCTCTGTAGATCAGGTTGGCCTCCAACTCAGAGATCTGCCTGCCTCTGCCTTCTGAATGCTGGCATTACAGGCATGATACACCATTCCCTGAACCTTGATAATCTGAAAATTATTGAAGAACCTCATTAGTGTGGTATAATTAAAGGATAAGGAAATGATTAAAAAATAAAGGGCTGTAAGCTTGGTATTAGGGGTCTGCCTAACATGGTTAAAGTTCTAAGTTAAATCTCTTTTACTGAAAAGGAAATTGCTGTTCCCAAATGTAGTATATATAATAATTCATAGTATAATTGATCCCTAATATTAGAAGACATTTTATAAGTTTCCATGCTGTGGACACTGAAGAGCCACCTGTGTTGATTTTTATCAGTTAGATGCTTACATGAGTCTTGGGTATTGGCAAGCACCATGTGGAATGAACAGTGTTAGTTGAGGGTGTTATATAACACTATTCTCAGGGAGATGTAAGCAGGTGTTTATTCACCCTGTGTGGTGAATAGGGTGAATAGACCCAATTTTAATTTGGTGAATCAATTTGTTTTATTGGAGCTACCTAGAAGAATATGGTGAGGAGTTATTTATAGGAGCAGAAAGGACTCAAAGACAGCTGCTATCACCAGATGCTCATCCCACGATGGGTGACAGCTCACAAAAACTGAACCCTAGAGCATGATCTAACCTGTGGGCAGTGCAGTAGTTTAGAGACTGCCTCTTTTAGGCAGTTCAGGCCATCGGATCCTCTTTTAGGTAGCTCTGCTGGTTTCTGCTTGTCCTTGTGAAATGCTCATGGCTGAGAGTTTTTCACAGCAGTCCTTACAACTTATATATGCTTGGGGAGAGGGAAGGCAGAGTATCATGAACTTCATACAAATTTTGAGCTGTCATAGGAGGAGAGAGGGTGTCCCCCTCCAGAATAAAATCAGGTTTGAGATCCCCCTGGGTTATGCATGGAATAGGTGTACTTGGATCCCTTTGTAAAAGTTGAGATTCCTTAAAAGGATGGCCCCTCAGTTGTCGTGCAAACCTGGGCCACTCTTGCTGCCCACTTAAGACTGGAGGGTCACAAGGGAACTGATTGAGAGATGGACTCATGCTTTGTGCTGGCCTGTGAGTAACAGAGCCCTTTGTCTCAGTCGGGAACCTCATGATACCTGCCTGTGTCCAACCAATTGTAAGAGGCTCCCTAGTTAACCTGTACATAGGCAAAAATCTGATCTTCATTCTTGGCCTTGGGCAAATCTTCTGTTGGTCTTGCTAAAGTTACATGGCTATAGTCCTTTGGTGACCAGGCTGAGATGGGTCATCATAAGATGGATTACCTCACAGACCTGACAGTTAATGCTGCCACTTGGGTCTCCTTTCCCATGTGGATCTCCTCATCCTCAGTAAGGCTAGCCCTATCTTCTTTACAGAGCAGTAAAAATATTCCAAAAAGGTATGAAGAAAAGCTATAGGAACTTCTGGTGGCCTAGTGC